ATTGTGTTGAATGGATTATAAATACTTGGGAAAAAAGATAAAGCTTGAAGTCAATTCCCCCGTATAACTTTATTATGTGCGTCATCGAATCTTATTCTTGATTTATATCCAAATCGCGGACTGATTTAAAATAAGTATTATATTTGTATATAAGTAAACTAAAATAAATGAGGCAGACAGTTTGGCGCTTACAAAAAGATAACTTGTAATCACATGACATCGAGATTGTTGGTGGAGTATCGTCCGAGTTGTATGTTAGAGTTTCAACATTCCTAATACACAAATTACCTAGTTACTCATAAATCTCTGGGCGAAATTTACCATACAAACCTTAATTTCCATTATTATTAATTTTTTGAACACGCAGCGAGGAATTCTACTCTGTAATTATTAACCGTAAAGCGAAATCCTGAGACTTCAATCAACCCCTTAAATTAGACCATAAGAATCAGCTTCGCCTAATTTACGAGCTCGCTAGTTTTCTAGTCATTACGAAACCCGAGAGGATTGGGGGTGAGACTACCGATTCCACACTCGAAAATCAATCCAACCGAATCAAAAAATTTAAAGCACAACAAGCATGTCGGAAAACTTATTCTTCACAGGACTCCGGAGGGGCAAAATAACACAGATTGGTGAAAGACTTCGGGAAGCCAGTCAGCCTACCTTTTCTCTCGATGAAGGGAAAAATAAGAATGGGGACGTGGAATGTTCGCACAATATACGAAGCTAGGATGGCTGCCCTGGATGCGAAAATATGTGAAGATGAGGCATTGATGTGCTCGGAATCTACGAGAGCAAATGCAATGGATTGTCTACTGGCGAGTGAGTAATCTACTCTGGTCACCCAGGCAACAAAATCGAGACTACTGAGGCAGTGAGTGACTATCATGATGTCACCAGTGACAGTCCAAGCTTTAATGCATTGAGAACCTGTTTCGTCCAGGATTCGACTGAAAAGGAAGGAAAGTCATAATTATTCAATGCTAAGCACAGTGCTACGAAGAACGCAGAACAAGAGGAAAAGGGAGATTTTTATAAACAACTGCAAACTGTAATGGACAACATCCCAAAGAGTGACCTCAAAATCCTTATAGGCGATATGAATGCCAAACTAGGAACAGAAAAAAACAGGAAGAGTCAAGAGACTGACTCAGCAAAACGCATGATAATAGGGGATCCTTAGCAGACTTCTGCGCCTTCAGTGGTTTGGTGATTGGAGACAGCATTTACAAGCACAAGGCAACATGTAATTTACTTGACGGACACACCACAAACCAGATAGATTTCATCTCATTCTCGAGGAAGTGCAGACGCAGGTTGGTGGATACAAAATACAGAGGGAGATAGGTGTGTGCTCAGACGCTTATGTAAATCAACGAATCTCCCAGGTGAAGCTGAAATCCTTCAGAACAACCGGAGACAAATCACGATACCTTCACTAAAGCTATCAGAGAAAAGTTTCAGACACTACGTGGTCTTACTGAGGAAAGCTGCGTGGGAGAATATTGGGACTCTCTGAAGGTGATGTTCAAGGAAATGTGCACAACTGTTCTAGGAAGAAAGAAGAGACGAGACAAGGAATAGCTCTCAACGGACACCTACCTGGAAGCTAATCGAGGAGAGGAGGATGGTGAGAGAAGATGGCTCAATACAAAGATGGGTAACAGAAGGAGGAGCTGAGTTTAATGTACACTGCACTGAATGAAGAAGAGTGCTGGGGAAGACAATTCTACGAGACACTGGGAACTGAAGCAGAACAGGATGGCCACAGATAGAGGAAACCTCAGAACATTATACCAAATAACGATTTCTCTTCAACGCAGATGAAAACTAGATAAGGTGGTCAAGTGAACCTAATTATCAAGAAGGAGAGACAGATAAAACAATGGGCCAATCACTTCGAAAGACTCTTAAATCGACCATTACCAGCAGCTCATCCAGAAATAACACCAACTTTACTCACACAACTGGTAGTGGACACCAATCCTCCAACAAACGAAAAAGTCCTGAATACAATCGAGCTACTAAAGGCTTGGAACCAGCAGGGCGGGACCGAATCCCTCTCGAAGCACTGTAAATTTAAAACTACTTCAACAATATTGCGTGCTCCAGATATTCACTAAACTAATTCAACAGCTATATAGCAATGCTACGTGATCCATAACGGAAAAGTCTACAAAGCCAGGAGCGCGACAAGGCTGCGTATTATCACCGATGATATTCTAAATTATGGACTTGATTATGCATCAGACTGTGGGGAGAAGACAGAAATGCGTTGGAATGATATCATAAAAAGCAGGACTGCAGCATGATTATACGTAGTTTTCTGAACGCCTAGGTCAATATTCTAGCTAAACATCTCATCACTTGCAAATTGAACCAGTAGATGAAAGAAATTATCAGTTTCCATTGGGAACCAAAAATATTCAGATCACAATGTGGTATTTTTGATGTCAAACATACTAATCAAGAAACCAAAATATTGTAATAGTAAATATTGCTGCTTCATATGAGTGGTCGGAAATCACTATCGTCGAACAGTTGTGCTTGTTAAGTAGATAAAAGTGATCTAAACACGTGATGGTCGTTTTGTTATGTCTCAAAGGATATCTGGTTAACCGAAATTTTTGACTATTTACATCTGCCAGTCAGTAGTACAAGGTATCGCACCAAATCAACATCTCACTTCGACCATTACAATTTTATGTCAGGTCAGTTTTATCTTAATTAGTTTTACCCAAAACAACACACCTGTCCCCCACTTACTAACTTGGTACAATCAGAATTGACAGAAAATATAAGTGGACAACTGATGTGGTAACAACGGGACGTTTACATACCTCCTTTCATAACCACAACCAGGTGCAACCCTTCATGAATGGCTGCATTGTAGTGATGACTTGGTCAGCACCTGAGTTTCGCAGATTAGTAGCTGAACAGTCTGGTTATTAACTCAGAGGCCGTAAGACAGATTTTAATATCACCTTCAAGTATAAGCTGTCAAAGCCATAGGAGTTTGTCAATTTGGGGGTATCACAGATATTCACTGACCAACAAAATAGATTTTCTAAAACTTAACAAGAAACCAAATTATGATTGATTTCTAAGAATCTATGTTCATGCGGATGAAAGCTTTCCATAATATCCTTGGAAAAATACTTTATTGCGAGCTCAGGTGTCCTGTTGGAAGTGACCAGAGGTATCGGGCAAGTGTAACAGCTCAATCATGAATACAGCAGTTTGAACTATGTTGCTCTGTGTCGACAACACAACTACAAACTATATGATATTTCATGACACAACATACACTGGGGTTGATATGCAGACTACCTATAAGATCATCAAGGTTTAATCATTTCTAAGTTGCATCATAGGATACACGAAGATGAATCTGGAAGATGATTTACGTAAACTATAGGAGTAATCTAAGTTAGGATAAAAAGCAAAGCATGTGGACATAAGCAATGTATCTTTCCCTCTGTTCGGCATAAAAGTTATAGGCACAAAAATACGATAGACGAGTACCAGCATACGAAGAAAACGAATTTAGTTATTAAATCACACACTAAACAGAACAAATAAAAATGCGGAGGGCCGCTATTACCTTTAATGTGCCCAGTGATATAAATAAATGTAAAGGTCTATAAGATTTTAATTCCTATACAACGAAATCACAAATACGCGTAGATAAATGAAATAAACTGTGCATGAAAATGAGGATGAAAAACATCGAAACTGAACGATATCCACATGAGGTTTCCTTTCACTCTGTGACTGAATATTAGAACTGAAACTACAATAAGTAGTATAATGCATAAAATGAAAAGTCTAAAACAAAACAGATAACGGGGAAGACGACTCTGAATAATTTGTGAAATTCACAGAACTAAAAAGAATGAAAATATATGGTCTCTATAGTTTAGCGATCGTTAAGTAGAAAAACAACATATACATCAACCGCGATGGTGCAAATTACAGATGAAATAATTCGATGTATCCAAAGTGAATGAAAGGATAGTATTAAGCGGAAATTCCAAGTGGTGTGAAATACATAAAGAAAGATATGCGGAGTAAAGGGGGATTAAGTCACAAAATTCAAAAATGGAATTTTCGGTAAGTTTGAGCATTCAATCATTTACTTCCAAGAAGCCTAAAAAAGTAACCAAAACAAAATTAGTGAGAACGTAGCTAAATTAGTGCTTCAAAATATGCATGCATTAAAATAACAAATTTTGCATCGAATCCTCAGAAGAGATGTCCCTAGCTACATGCATTATTTATCAAACAAATATTCTCATTGCAATAGATTATGATGCAAATTACTGCTTTATGTGATATAAACCACATCTTAAGAGCAATTTAGCCCTTTAAATAATGCGAATGGGTAATCTCCCTATCGACAATAAAATATAAAACTTATTCTTGACACCTGCACTGATTCTAATATATACATAAACAACACCAGTGAATACCTACAATTAAAGCATACTGAAGTATTAGAAAAATACCAATTTACTACACAGTATCAGTGTATAAGCAGGAATGTTAGCTTCAACGATACTGGGTAAGCATTAAAGGCATGCATAGTGAAACGATGCCTTTTAATCGACAGTAAATAACATTTACCAACTGAAGGCATATAGCCTACAAGATATATGAATAATATCTATAGCTTTCGAAGTCGGACACAGCTAAGTGACAATTTCTTCTACAGAAAAGATAATGCTCATCTTTGAATTGATGAACAAAGAATTTTTTTACTATACCTGATTGATCAAGGGAAAAGAATACAAAATAAGCTACCCTAAGAATCTTCATTGAATACAATGGATAAAACGGCACTATAGACAGCATTTGTGCGTCGGTGGCATAGCGGTTAGGACGCTCGCCGACCATGCACATGGTCCGGGGTTCGAACCCCGGCCGACGCACTCCTTTACCTCGCTAAAACAGAAATAAAGCTGGTAAAGGGGAAAGGTTGGGCATGAGGCTAGCAGCCCCATCCTGTAAAAATAAACACTGCTACAGAAACTTCAAGCCTCCAGCTTGAAGCCCTATGTTCCACTGGGAACGTGAAGGAAAAAAAAATAGACAGCATTTAGACTAAATGCCCAACCAAACGGTACAGGAATATCATTAGGGTGTTTCAAAATTGCCGTTATGAGATAAAATATAACAATTAAAAATACTGATCACAATGCAGCCATGTAGCATAACACATAGGATAAAAAATTTCCAACCAATTTTTCTTTGAATCCACAGTCAGAAAAGCATCACACTAGATCACTAATAATGACGGATAAACAATGTTTCAACCAGTAAGAATGTTCAGTTTCTCGAAATAACATCCGTAACGTATAGGAAGGATGTCTTTAAATGTTGTGCTTACATACAACAAACAGGCTCTTTAGTATTTGCCAAAATAAAACATTTTTTTCTTGTTTTTTCATTTTGTGACAAAACATCTTGAAAAACTGTCTGACTGAAACACCACACCACAATGAGTAACACTTAACTTAAAGACGAACAATGGTAAATTTTGTACTATTGGTCTAACTAGTGGCATTACATTTTTATGAAGGCGTATCTTACAATACTTACCAAAAACTACAGAAATAAAAAAGTTTCAACACCAGATAAAGAAAAACAATCTCTCACTAATTAATATTACCGATCCTCATGTATAAATCCCTTATGCCATCTTCTGTATATGCAATGTTCCTACGACAATTAATGGAAAATTCTATGAATTCAGTTGATGATAAAAGCTTCAGTTAAACAACACTGCGATGAATGAAAACTTGGTCCATGTCAATGTGAAATGAAATTCAGTTTTGGTATACCGAATAAGTACTTCATGTATTGCGATGCAAGTAAATTTTGTTGAGATGGAGAAGAAAGAATGCCATTAACCCCAGTTACTGGAAAACCAAATCAATCACACATTCCGGAGAAATATGTACGTAGTTATGATCTTGTATTGCAATTAGTAATGAAAAATAAGGTAGGCAGATATTGAAGCACACCACGCATGTAATGCTTATATATTTGGTGAATGTAAAGGATAAAACATTATTTTTAAAGACTGCACTTACTATTTATTGCGTCGAAAACGCGTATTGAAAAAGTTTTCTACATAAGCACGCCTGAAATACAAAAATATGAAAGGATTTTTAGAGATGAATCACCTAGACTGTATAACACCTGAGTTTCTGGTGCAATGTAATATACTTCTTGAAAGATTCACAACTAGTATTACGTCACTCAAAACAACAACAGTTAACACAAGCCACATAATTCGTACTGCAAACAGAGCAGAAACACCAAAACAAGACTACATATCGCATCCCTGTAGAGATACTTGAGTTAACTAAGAGAATGGATTTTCATCAGTTTCAAGGACTAAGATGTTGGTTATTTGTATCCAAAAGAATCTTACTACCCAAAGGGACAGAAAGGATTTTTAATATTTAAATTTCCTTGGTTGGCAGTCATTGTAGCGATGTGAAAAACCCAATGTACGTGACTTTACACTCAAAGAATTTTGTCTAGGGTATTACTTTTTTCAGAATCATCAAGTACTGAACTGCCAGCAGACAGGCTTTAAGGTCAAGTCCCACTTTATCAATTTCGCTTGACCTACCAGAGAATATCGCCAATTCTCAGCTATCAAATGTGGCCAATAACTTATTACACAAACTTGTGTTACTATGCTAACTGGCAATAAATGATAACAGTGATTGAGCAAGTTTTGGGGAACGCAGTTGAACATTCTATAAAATCCACTGTAATAAGCATGTGGCGGAAAAATATCATAGACGATGTATAAAAGATTGTTACATGATAACTCTGAATGAGATAGGCAAATATGTGGGAAGGATGAAGAGGGTATGATTGAGATAAACTGAAGTCTAATCACCTCATGATGGAAACAACAGTTAGTGGCAGTTGCTACCACTATAGACCACAGGATAATATTTGTCATATATTTTTGGTTCCAACTAAAATTATTTTCTGACTGAATCCTTCTATAACCGGATGCACATACTGAGCTTGTTTATCATTTACATTTAATTTCTTACTTAACTCCTTAGCATTACAGAATTTCCTATACAGCTATTGAACTTTCTTTTCTCAATGACTTAGCTGAATTTAAGTACACAATTTCCTCCACCTCCGACACATCGTTTCACCTGACTAGTCATCTCTAATAAACGTCTGAACCTATTTTCATATTGCATTATCGTAAATACGACTATTTGAGCTGAGAAATCCTATAGAAGTTTACGGGTTCGTATTCACCCCCATTTTACGCTTTTTAGGATATGTATTGAATATTTTACTTTTAGTTTGATAACTTGATGAGGAAAGAATGAAATCACCTCGGTTAAAGAAATAGTATTGTAAACAATATTACACCTGAAGGTTACGAATGATACGGTAATTTACAGCGCAAAAGGCAGTGAAATTCAGTAGTTCGTCATACTTTTGGTGAATGTAATAACAGACACAGTGATTACATCTAGGAGGCTAATTTATTACGCCTTATACTGTAATGATAGAAAATGTCTTGGCTAGAAGGTGATTTTAAGAAACAAATTTTATTCTGTGGAAATACACCGATCTGAAAGATAAAAATTTCCTGTATGACCTCGTATGTGAATAAACACAAAAGTAAAGATATAATCATTTAGCATTGTTTAGAAATTATTCACTATGTAGAAAAGGGCATCCTTTGTGAAACGTTACACATTAGATTTCGCCACAGTGATTCCCATTGACTGAGTTGGGGTTTTCTCCCATATATTGCAAAATCAGTGTAACTTAGAGAAATAAATTCTCTTTGGAAATACTGACCTCATATTCATTTTCTTTTGTACTTTGTTGTAAACCAAAAGAATACCTTTACTGGGGAGACATGTTTGATTATACTGTAAAAATATTATGGCATGACGGAAGTCATCGTTGTAAGTTTTATTCAGTAATTTCATAGATCTTATTAAAATAATGAATGTTCAACTACAAATATATGAGGACAATCTACAGAGAAATTAAATTACCCACTTATGGTATTTTAAGTATTGGCACAGAAAAGAATAAGTTTACTACACAGTAGTATGTTTACTGAAGTTAAAATAGATTTCATTGTAAAATTGACCTAGTGACATCTTGAAAGGTTTGTTAAGTATGCCAATCTTTAAATGAACACTTCAGAAGTTTAAAGCTCGGAAGGACAGACAGTAGAAAAGGTTGTGAATATACACTGACAGCAGTATTACAAGCAACAAACCAGTCTGCTTTGATACAGTCACTTGAAAGTCTAGAATGAATGAAACAAGATGCCGATTCACTTAGTTAAGTCTTACCTTGAGTCAGCTTGGTTAAAGTCATCAAAAGGTTAGAAAGTAACTGCCTGAAGGTTCGTGTGACATAACTCCTAATAGCTCTTCACCGCTCATAAATATCTGAATATTTCATTTAAATTACTTTTCCTGTCTCATCTGCGTTCTTATATTAGATCACCAACATACTCTTTTTGGGCTTTTGTTGTATGGTGACTTGTACAAATGTATTTAGGTAGATTCTTATATTCGTTTAACTTCAGTAAAAGTACATGTTCGATACAACTAAATGTAACGTTATCTCTACCAATATCTTCCAGCAGAGATGAAATTTCGGAAAAATATTTGCTAATTCAAACTGTGAAAAATTTCACTGATATATCAAAGAACCATCACACTTAATTTTTCTTAGTTAATAAGTGATGAACAATAAGCATAATTAGTGACTTAAATGTGTGTTCATGATATAAACGTATCACATTCCAAGACTATTATTAATTCAAAACTAAATTTGACTAGAACACAAACATAAGCTATGGATTATATTCATAATTAATTGATCCATTTTCCGAATTACAACTGAGCTGGAAGTAAACACCTGAATCCAAATCACGTTAAGTATACCAAGATAAGTGGCATTTAATTTACAATTGAGTAAATGAAGTTCATCTACAGGATTCTAACTTCTATTTACGAAAAGATCTATCGTGGTGGTACCTCAACCACTGACTTTCTTCGAATGAGCATTCCTCGTGGCTACTTTCCTTTATATCAATGTCGCTTTAGACCATAAGTCTTCATTTAAGAAGGACGATCTACTATGAAACTATTGGTTCAAAATTTACTTAATTTTTTGTAATTTGCTAGGCTTCAGTTGCGACTGCTATGTGTGACACCAGACCACATTTGAACGAGTTAATAATATTCTTCGATAAATGTATAGTCACAACAGACAACTCCACCACTATTGATGGTGAACATCAATATAATCAAAGATTTTCAGTTGCATGACCCACACACAACATATGATGGATTTAAGCACAAATAGACATATTCTAAACAAGACCTGAAGAGTTCAACTTCACTTTCATCTTATTCAAATACAGTCAATAACAGTGTATCCTATTTATCTACGCTGTGTGAAGGCCACCTGATGCCAGCATGCACAATATGTTCCTATATTTCGGAAGGCAGCATTGGATAAAAATGAGTCACTGAATAACAAAACCAACTCGTACACAGAATTCATCCTAAGATGACTACACATTCCGTTCTTAGAGGCAAAACCAACGTTCATTTTGTACCAAGTGGTTCACAAACAGGTAAGGTAATTTCTTATCTTTTTGCAGAATCGCGATGTCTTGTGTCATGATGAATGCACCTACATTACAACATGAAATAGAAATGCTTTCTGCTTATATCTGCAACAGACCACAAGACGTTACTAACTATATTGATCAAATTAGTTCGAATGAGTAATCAGTAGATTGTATGTTTCTAAAAAATGTATACCCATTAGCGGAGATCCTAAAATTTTAGGACTTATGATACGATTCCGACGTTGCAGTGAATAAAAATATAGCGTTAAGAGACAGACACAGTGCTTCTTGGGTAGCAATCTAAGCTAATTTAAAGTGACTTTGCAAATCTAAGAACTAACTACGCTGTCACTGACTGATCTACATTTCTAACTATCGATTTAGTTACTCCACGAAATCTTGCTTTGAGTGTTTTGACAGTTGTAAAAAAGTGGTCCCTACACATTAGACATACCTCACAATCTAAGACGTCAATACGGTTGTTGGGGTCTTTGCTGTTCAAAGATAAAAACAGACTAATGTTGTAACAAGGACAAAAATAACTTTGTTCGATGCCCTCAGACAAATTCTTATCATCTTAAGGTTTTATTTGCTTCTCAAGAAGCTTTTAAAAATAAAATATATCACGTCAGAAAGTTATCTTTTAAATTTCAGCAGTTACATATCTGGTGAAGATTTGGACTGATAAGTTAAGACGATTGGACTTCAACATATGTAAAAAGACCCATACTACTTACTAGCCCACAAAAGCTTATGAAGACTAGGGGTTTTGGGTTTCCATAAATGATCAACAGCACACTGGGTGAATTTCTGTATTGAGAGAGTCAGTAAAATTAGAAATGATGAAAGCTGGAGAGAGGTGTCTTATGTATTACGTCTTGTAAACTCCCATATTAGAATTATTTACTCCAAGACTAAAGTTGCAGTTAGTTTCTCTCTTATTCCCACATGATATTGCCCCATATTAAGCATGTATGTCTGGTAGCCGTAAAACACATGCACCTGATCAATACATGGGTATCTATGTACTGAGCTATTTGGGGAAGCAAATCGCTGAATAAATGTACAGTAACTTAGAGATAACGATTCCAAGAACAACTTACATAGGGTTTGAACATAACGAAAAGTGCCGAAATAAGTTAGTATAAGTAAAGATCTACTGTAAATTTTAGTTGTAGCAAATGGGGACAAATTAATGTTGTGATTTCAAACCATGCCTGCGTAGGAAACAAAACTACCGCTAACTAGAATACTGTAATTAAGCTTGGCAATTAAATTAATGCAAATAATTAGTACATGTGAGATGCTCACTTGGTGTTGAAGCCACCCGGAGGATAATTTGGAAGGTTCATACTTTTAACTGTATTGGCGATATAGTTCACACTCAAAGTGTCAGCATCTGCCCCGGCTGAGTTCATTATATCTGAGTATGAATAAAGGTAAATCATACAAATACTTCAGATTCACTAGTTTATGAATGTAAAATTAACTAGATTTTAAAACCCAAACAAACGATGTAAACTAAGATTCATTTATCTGCAAACTAGTTATACACAGAATTTACTGGGAAGTATGAATGAACAGAACTTAAGTAGTCTGACACAAATATGATTATTACTTGGGTCAAGTAGATATAAGATTTAACTGAGTTCCCGAATTAGTCCCTAAAATGAAAGTAGTATGCCTTCTGTGTCTATACTCTGACAACAGTAAGAAAAGCTTTTCCGGCACTACGCTAGACGATTTCAAGTGCTTTTAACCGCCAAATATCCGTCCACTCAGCGCAAAAGACAAAAGATAACGCATATTGCACAAAAGTAAGGTCTTACTCGTACAATGAATTTAGATCAATGCGTCGAAAGGAAATTGTGCACAAAACACTGAAATAACAGTTTAACACTATCGTCAGTTTTGACAAAATTTATATTTTTCTAATTCAATACATTAAGGACTTTACAATCGATTTCATGGAATGAGTAAGTGAGTTAGATGAGCAATGGATCCACAAATTTGATATGATGGGGAGATATTGATATTGCAGGCTTCATTTGTTACCAGGACTCCTCAACCTAGGTCTAAAAAATAAATATCATCATAAAGAAATCGATCTGCGCGTGTTTGTTTCAAGGAAAATTAAGACAAAGTATAAAAAAGCGAATGTACACAGCATCTACTTTAAATAAGTGGGTTCATTTAACTAGCATAGGGTTATCTAGTGTATTAACCTGATAGGAACTGGGTTCGCGAAAAACGATGTCTTAATATGCATATATTCAACAGAATTATTACCGCAGCATGTAATACTTGCTTTGAGATTTCAACTAATTTTATTCTGGAAATTAAATGTATAAACTTACCAACAATCAAATTCTCTATAGAATTGTCTAATTCCATTTCCTTACGGACTGCTTCTGGATCCACGGTAGGAGCAGCATCTAACGCTACCAAAAGAACACTCATATTATCACGACTACCCTGCAGAAATTAAGGAAACAAAGAATTTGTATTAGTGTTAATTTCTAAAGCTGGAGATATTAAGACTGAAATAACTTTTGAATCATAACTTGGACAATATTACTATTCAACATCTATAGTTACTGTTTAGACAATTATACGGGAACCAGCTAAAACAATTCTCATTTGGTAATTTGTCACGAATTTTCAGTAAAGATGACATTATATCAAATTATTGTCACGTTATAAAGGCTTTTAAAAGAAATAAGAGTTTATTTTACTTTCGTTAGTGATATATGTCAAGACAAAATGAATCAAAATTACACTAGTCTTTCTACATTTCTGGGTGTTTAATAGCAAGGGGTCTGCATGAGTGAGAAAAAGAGAACAAATGCATTCGACTATGTACGAAATACAAGGGTACCTGAATACTCCTTCAGATACTAATTTTACCGGCTCAATCAAACAATAAAGAAGTAGGCTGTACAATAATACTACAAGCATAGCACGAAGAATTTTATGAACATCGTAAGTCTTGTACAACAAGATGGGGCCAAAATTTGCTAAATATAGTTAGCCATTCACATGAATTTTAAAACTTAAACATTACGAACGTCCCACTGACTGACAGGAAAACACTAACCTTGTGCAAACTGGTATCGAGGATTTCTGAACAAACATCTACCAAAGAGGGTAAACAACACAACCTATGAAGGACATAAGTTGTAAGGGTATCGTTCTCAAAGACATCCCAAACACCATCACACGCAAGGAGGAGAACTTGGTCAAATTCCTTCTTACGTTCAATGATAAATACATCTGGTTCAGGAGAAACGAGTTGCTCAGTAGCTCCACGACTAAATACCTGTTTGTATTCAAAGTCACCAAGAGATCTTTAGGAAAAAGGAAAGAAAGAAACACCGTATCATTAGCAAATACATGTAAGACATTTACTCAAAATTACTTTAACAATCATTATGATTGCAAGTACATCCATAGTAATTTATACTTCAGAAGGATTCTGAGAAAGAATGGTTTTGACAAATTCATGGGTCTGATGAGTTTGTTATTTGATATGTTCTTCGTAAAGTTACACTAAAAACTATGTATGGATATTCAAAGTCAACTTAACAGGAAACTGTACAGGGCTTACATGAATCGCATGAAGGACTTACTTCAAGAAAATATAAATAGATATAACTAATACTATAAACACATTTTCTATTCATGTAGTAAGGCTTTCCCTGTCATTAAGTAAAGGCCATCATTTTCTGAATTTTCATCCTACGCTACTGCTATACTGAACTGAGTTAACGACAGTAGCAGTTTTTAGTTAAGCAATAAAACAATTAGAAATGCAAATGAAGTAAAGATACAACATTTTAAAGGTATGTCGGTAGGAAAACAGTGGTCTCAATGACAGATGTTAACAGGAAACACCCAGCTGACTCCTTAAAGCAATCTTTCTGTAAAACCACATATTTTCACAATCTTAAAAAATCTCTGAGCATTTTACTGGAAAACTTGAAAACGCTTTGAAAACAAAGCTATCAAACCAGTGACTGACAGAATAATGCACGATACTGGGAGTGATAAATGAGTCTCATTGTTTTATTACTGTTATTCAGTTATCAGCTCAGTAATACATGTAGCATATATGATAAAACTGAAGGTTTTAAACACGTACTTAAACCGATGGTTTGGGCTGTTGTTAGATACTCTACCAAGGCCTAAATTATATTTCTATATTACAGAAATCAAAACTAACCTAAAAATATATTGTTGTACAGAGCTTACTTGAAGTGGTAAGCACAGATGTAATCAATTAGTACACCAAATAAGAGAAATAAATTTGTCTTCCCCACTACAGCTTGCCTCCTAAAGTTTCAATAACGCCAGTGTTACTCTTAATATTTAAAGCATTTCGCACAATAGTGAGCAAAGCAGCGATACAGGTACAGAAAATTCTATCTTATATCCTATCTTAAGTCTTACATACTCATCCAAATGATACACACTTCCTACATGAAGTGATCACTATCCACAGCATTTAAAATGGACAATGTATGATCGTATAAAAATGAAAATTGACACTACCTTGAAACAGCTAAAGATCCATTGACTCGTGATAACATAACCTGACCACCAGCTTCAGAAATTCTCCGGCGTTCGATAGGATTGTATGGTTTATGGTCTTGAGTTGCCAAAAGGGGTTTATTGTCTCGAACAAGTATAGCTCTTGAATCACCACAATTAGCCATGATTATATGGGTTGGAGTAACGAAAGCAACCACCGCGGTAGAACCAGATTTCTCATTAGAATCTTCGGATGCTAAATCGCGATCAAAAGCTAAAAATCCGTTTACGATGCCGCGTTTCACCAAAGTAGTATCAAGCTCCGTACAAGAGGGATCAAGCTTCTGAAACTCTTCTGTATTAAGAATAGCCTGAATGTAATCAGAATAAATAGGCCTACCAACTTACGTCTAGTAACTTAGCCGCACAAAGCTCTGAAACGCGTGATCCTGCATGACCATCAAATACACCAAAGTACGACCAGTATTGGAAAGGACTGGGAAGTTCAGATTTGGCTACGTGGGCATCTTCCATCTCCACTCGCCAACCTTGCATACTTGAAATGGCATATCGAAGTCCGTTTCCTTGTCCCATATCAACTACTTTTTCTGTCTTGGGTTTATCTAGGAAGGCACCCATAACCACATATAGGAGTGCTAAAAGTATAATAAGTAGGACGAAGTAAAGCTTTGGAAAGGAATAAAATAACAAAATAATCATATAATGGACAAGACCATATGACATTTATGGTATCAAAACTAAACTAAGACGACACAATCGCACAACTTCTCACGATTTCCACTTTCTTATACTCGATGGAATCAAATACAGAGTTCACATATGGATTACTTTCCAATGCTAATAAATATGCGTTTTATTAGACTTGTCAGACGGATTAGACTACGCGGATTCATCCAGTATTTAAAACACACTTGATTCACTACTCAGCTAAGTTAACTCCTTTCTGCGATAGTTTCTTAAATGCTGAGGAACGATTCAAACATTGTCCAAAATCCTTATTTTGATAGCGTCATTAGAAGACGGAGACTGTCTGAAAAATGTGATGTATTACCGCTATACATTTCGAACAATCTGATCACACATTTACTTGTCAAGTCAATATATATATAGAAAGGTTAAATTAAACAAAGTGAGAGAAAACGGAATTAAGAATAATTAACACAAACCTTTGGTAGTCCAATCAAATAAGGATTACCAAGGTAGGTTAAGAGTAATGACAAACTGTTTTTGAACCTACCTTGGTAATCCTTATTTGATTGGATTACCAAAGGTTTGTGTTAATTATTCTTAATTCCGTTTTCTCTCACTTTGTTTAATTTAACCTTTCTATATATATATATTGACTTGACAAGTAAATGTGTGATCAGATTGTTCGAAATGTATAGCGGTAATACATCACATTTTTCAGACAGTCTCCATCTTCTAATAACGCTATCAAAATTTATAAAAGGGACTAATTGTTTCAAAATCCTTATATTAATTGCTAAACGTTTAGAAGTGCAATGCATCGACAGCTTGTCTGAAAACACGGAATAAAACAGCTGAAAATGATTGCATCACGTTTCGATACCGAGAGTGGTAGTTGACATCTTAAGCAATTCTGAGTTGAAACATGGAGTATTGTAGACTGACCAATTGATGTGCTCGTGAAACATTACCACTTCTCGTTGCTGAAACGTGTGGTTCATACTCACTTTACTGCAGCGCGAGAAAAATAACACGGAAAGGAAAACAATGTAATCGCGGAAACGAGGTTATGTTATGAGTTACTTAACAACCCATTCTATTACCGTGTAGGTATCAATGTACTTCACCTATAGTGAATGCTGAAGACATTAACTGGCTGTCTGCATATCGGTAAGTGGTAAATCGAACCTGTGACGTAATCGTTCGAAGTGAGCCAAAATCAACGCGCCAACTTTCGGAGACTTAATGAATGAATGAAATGAAGCAACAATCTATGAGTGAAACTTTTAGAGACAACGAAAACCGACGAAAGAATACGCTACAAAACATACAAATATATTTTTATCCTGCATACATTTATAGCACAGAATTAAAAACACTACTCCATCTGAAAGCCTAACTCTCTTTACGTGGTACAGAGTCAGAAACTCAGACGGATAATTTAGTGACTATAATAAAAAACAAAGTTTATAGCACATTGTTTCACTGAGTAGGAAGATGGTTGTTATGAAGCCTTACAGTCGGGCTTTATGTATACTGAGAACCAATGTCTCACTATCCGGAAATGTTACTCAGTTTAAACGTTACATATTCACACTCTTGTGTGTAACAAATTAATAAATCATTGCAGCTTGTGAAATTGGTCTCCTAAATAATTAAGCAGTGTAATAATCTTTGATAGTGACAACCAATGAATATGTTCATAAGATTGCATACGCAGTCTGAATCAGAAACCACAAATTTGTCAGTCTAAGCTATGTACTAAGTTTTTGCGAGATAGTGAAATAGCACTACCGGGACTTAACACCAGACAGATTTAATCACTTGGAAGAGTTAAGTGACTTTATGATAGTCCCCTACTAAAAGAATTCGGCAGTAAACACTGAATTGCTATAACTATACCTATACACCAAGTATTTGGTGAACCCGTTTTGGTGCTTTTCATGTACGTTTTCTCACCTTATATCCAAACACCTAAAATGCATGTGTGGTGTACAGGTTTGTCGGAGGAATGCCGATTTAAGGGAAAAAATCAAGCGAATATCACAGTAATAAGCAGGTTAACAAATACGGTACTTCAGATCATGAGACTCGTAGTCAAACGAAAACGCAAAACTAGATATTTCTAAATCACATGATGAAGCACGCGGCATAGTGACCTTATTATTACTACTAAATTATTAGCAGCATATATTTGCCACACTAGCTGAGGACAGTATTCGGCACTGTCAAGAAGAGGCGTGATGCTAATTGACTCTGAAAGAAGTATCATGAAATGGTATTATGCCGATATGACAGTTTAAACCTATGCAGTTGTTTAAGAGTTGTTGTTTCATGACAAAATGTTCTCTGAGAACCGGACTATATGACGAGTTTGTGTTTTACTGAAGTCCGTTTTAACATGAAGTGTGAATTTTAGTTACAGAGACCCATTCTGAAATAATTATTTGAGAGGATTTAGTAACATTACATACGATACCGACGTTTGTATATTACAATGTAAATGAAACTTTTTTGCCAGGAGTTAGAAAACTTGGAAACTATTTGTCGAAAGTCAAATTACAAAGTTCCAGAACAGTGAGCGCTTGTGATTCTATAGTACCACGACAGTAGTACAAAAAAGTAACGAGTAATACGAAATACTTACTGAAACGAAAATTGAATGAAGATACATTTTAACTAAGATGACAATGAGAATTTCACTTGTGTCCCACATAAGCTAATGTGAACTAGTCCAGTGGTTCCACCAACGCTTGCCTCTCCGCATTTGAACAATGCAGGAACTTCAGAGACCTTTAAACCTCACATTTCGCGATAGGAAATCCCCATTAAATCATAATTGGTGTGCAACACGAGGTGATGGATATACAATTACAACTGATGTGAATGGAAGTACCAATGATCATTAGAAAAACATTGAAAGAGATATTATACATTAAAAGACTCACAAATTTAACACTACAACTCAAGACGTTCCGAAATCAACCAAATCACATAAATGCGCTCACCAGTAAGTCAGTTAAAAGATAGGCAAATCTAACCCTCCTAAGAGAAACATCTACGAAGGACGAATAACTTGGAATTAGGACAGCATAAAATGTTGGCCTACATTCGATGAGCCTTTTAGGATTACACTACTCAGTTGGTAGATCAATTTTACAAATAAGTCAACGGTAACGGTTCGAATTTATTTACTGGCTAAGTGCGATTACGACTAAGAGTAAAGTCTGGTAAGAATATACATGTCCAGCTGACGTTGGCTAACTGTGGTGACAGAACCAATTTGGCTTGGATAGACATATCTTAAGAACTTCCGTTCACACAGCATAGATATATGTAAGATGTCTAATTATTATCAGTGGACAATATTCACAGGCCTAATGTCCGAACATTATAAAAATGAGTGATCACTCAATCTCATACAGCATTTCGACTATATGTAAGAGAAATGGATGAATATGGAGTAACATGCAGCTAAATATCTTTCAGGATTTTAAATAAAAACAACACGACACAAAAAACTGCACTTACACAACCCAATATAAGTTCAACTAACTGCAACACCGAACCATCAGACTAGCAACATAGAATTTTGAACGGGTTTAAATAAACAAAATAAATCGACAGCAAGCAAAAAATAAAGACAGATGAGGATTTTTATTCGCTTAGTAAAAATGTCTATATTTTTTAGCGATTCGATGAATATTACTGAGAGAGCGAAGGTGTTGAAACACATTTCGAAATCGACTATTAAAAAATGAGTGAATTTCTTAATAATATCTAACAAACTAATATGAAATTGAATATTTACTGATGTTTTGGTAGTTCTGAAAACTTTCAGGCCAAGTTTGCGTCGAGCGCTTTTCGAAAGTCGCAGCTACACTTGAGTCACAAGGTTGGTCTCTCGATGGCTGTTATTAAGTATACTGAAATTTCTGTTTTCGACGAAATAAGGGCAGAAACTTTCGACATTCTTAGGTTTATTGAACTTTAAGCGCATGTATATTATCCAGTCCCACTGTATACAAATGTATACCATAAATTATTGCTCACAGAATAAACTACGGTCAGTTCCGTGAAATTTATACTTCTGAAAAATCAAAATAATTCCGAAATTATCGGAAAAGTGTCGTTAATTTTCTCTTCACCAACCGAAAAATTATGTACCTAGGTGTTACTCCGGGTCCAGTTATCATTGACTTCGGGCGTGCTGCAGATAACTGTCTCACGTCATACAACGCGCCCGAATACAGTGCTAGCTGGAAGATACTTGCTTCTGTCATATAAGTCGTGCATCTCCCACGACCCCCAACACTTCTTGCTGCTTTTTCTGCCCAAAGGTTTCGTCAGGTGGTGTAATAAATGCAGGATATTTGTCCCATCGATTTCAACACAACAAGCTGGAACATTTCCACTTCTATAAAAATTAGAATGATAGGTTATCTAACCACCTTATTTTTCTTTGAAATGCCGATCCAGTTTAACTAGGTATGTATGGAAATTGTTTAAATAATGCTCAATTCCAAAAGTGCTTTTATGCACATTTGCGGTAAAATGCCTAGTACGGGCTTTGGAGTTAGTTGCATTCAGCTAATAAGGTTAGTAGGGCTTTGTTGCCTGTGTTAATCCTTGCAATATAAATCTCCACAGAAATCTAATTTCTCTATGTGAGGGTTTAAATTCCGCACCTATTTTGTTCTTCCTCGGTTTGAGGACATTTTTATGGTAACCTCTTAAATGTATTTTAGGGAAAGAAGATTAGGAAAGTCAGTCCCTAAATGGCCCTTTAATTTATGGTACGCCGAATTTCAGTCACCTCTCCTCCTTTGGTATGATAATGAGAAGAGATTTAAGTGCTCCACCCTTTTCTCATAAAGAAGGTATGAGGCAGCGTGTATACAGTATTCTAGGTGAGGCTTGACATGATGCATAAAGTATTTGAAACATAGACTTGTCTAGTAGTTTAAGAACTCTTCGAAGTGCCCATGGTATTCGAAAAGCCTTAGCTGCGGCTGTATTACGATTCGCAGTTGTTCTCAAGTCATGGCTGACAAAAATTCCTAAGTCCTTTTAGCCCTTAACATCTGGCGGCTCTGTCCCCCCCCCCCAGGGAGCACGCCGTGTGAAGTCTGTGACTTAAGTGTATTACCGCACTTTTCTTGGAATTTATTTCGAGGCTGCAGAGGTTCGACCTTTCAGCTAATTTACCTAGATCACATTGTAAGACCGACTTATCACTATTATTTACAGTTTCCCATATCTTAATATCGTCCACAAATAAGAATTTTAGTTCGTTTGTGTATAATAGGGACAGTAGAGGACCTAGTGTATTTCCCTGAGGTACTCCACTCAATAATGCTTTCCGCCCTTCCAATACACCATTAGCCCTTACCTGTCCATTAGGTAGTTTCTAAACCACTCATGTGGGCATTGATCTAATGCAAAACCTTTTAGTTTACTAAGGAGACCCCCTAGGCTCTGCGGTCACACAAACAACTTCCACGGTGTGGGCAGCTGGGGAGGAACAATCGCCCTCACAGTCCGAAATGCACACGAAACCTCTCTAATCCTCACTCATCTTTGTCTTCATCTTCATCTCTATCATCTTGCCTTCCTTCCACTGATGCAACTCCTCTACTTGATGGCTCCACTTCCTCTTCACTCTGTGTCCACTAAAAACGACGAAGCCAAAAAACCACCACCGATAGTCTCCTAAAGCCACGCCACCAATTTCATATAGGAGCATTTAATGTTAGGACACTTTGCCAAATAGGACAACAAGCATCACTAGCTAAGACCCTGGCATCCGAGCCATTGATGTATGTTGTGTTTCAGAAACACGCATACAAGACCCAAGTGTGGTTATTCACCTAACCCCACCTGGCCAACAGGATGAATCTTCAAAATTCACCTTGAGGGTGTCAGGAGATGCCACAGCTAGTTCACGAGGATTAGCTGGCGTAGGGATAGCTCTGAGTACTAGGGCAGAAAAGACATTACTTGACTGGATCCCGGTAGATAGCCGAATGTGTGCTGTCCGTCTGAACGGATCAGTAAGAAGGAGAAAGGACTGCACTACTCGCCGATGCCTTTTCGTAATCTCCGCCTACGCCCCCACTGACTGCAGTTCGGATGAAACGAAGGATGAGTTCTACCAAAAGCTGTCTAGTTTGGTGCGAAAGGCTAAACGCTCAGATATAGTCGTTCTAGCTGGTGACTTTAATGCTCAAGTAGGGAAATTGTGTCAATCTGAGAAGGATGTCGGTGGCACCTATGGAGTTCCGTGCCAGCGAACCGACAACGGTGACCGTCTCCTACAGTTCTGTTCAGATAATCATTTGTTTCTTGTAAGCACTAACTTTAAACACAAGGAGAGACACTGTTTAACCTGGCGACCCCCATCATCAAACCAACGCTGGACACAAATAGACCACATAGCAATAAGCTATCGTTGGCGTGGGTCGGTAGGAGATTGTCGCTCCTTCTGGAACACGTGTGTAGATACCGATCACGCACTGGTCCGGGCTCGTGTGTGCTTACGACTGAACGGACGTAGGAAACAGCTGGCGGTAAAACCATCACGTCCCCAGCTCGATCAGGAAACTAAATCCCTATTTGAGGAAGAACTAGCTAAACACATATCTGAATTCGACAGCTGTGCTCACCCTGGAGAAGCCTGGAAGAATATTCAGTCAGCTATAGATACAGCTGTAAAAGCTGTGAATAAGGCAAATCCAAAGGTGAGTAAAAACCACTGGATTTCGACTGCCTCATCCGAACTGATAGATGCTAGAAGACTTATTCCGGCGAGCTCCGAATTCAATGAGGAGCGAAAGCTGCACAAAAGGAAACTTACTAAAAGTCTCCGCAAGGACCGTGAACAGTGGTGGGTGACAAAGGCGAAAGAGATGGAAAAAGCATTGGCGATAGGCAACACTAGGCAACTCTTTAGACTCATCAGGGAAACGGGTGGGAGAAGGCAAATCATAAGTGAGACTATTTCTGAGAAAAATGGCTCCTTAATTAGCTCTCAGGATAGACGCCTTGAACGCTGGAAAGAACACTTTGAGGAACAATTTAACTTGCCTACAGCCACACTGAACCTCCCCGCCATCCACACACCCGAATGGGATATAGACACTGGTCCGCCGTCTGTAGTGAGGTCACAAAAGCTATCAGTAATTTGAAACGAGGCAAAGCGGCAGGACCCGACGGAATTATTCCGGAGGTGTTTAAATATGGGGGTGACATACTAGTTTGTAGATTAACTGAGGTACTAGGCAAAGTCTGGGAATCAGAGACAGTTCCATCAGACTGGGGTAAGTCACTTATTATACCGATATTCAAGAAGGGAAACAAGTCCTCGTGTGATAATCATAGGGGATCAGCCTAACGAACATAGTCTCTAAAATCCTAGGCTCAGTAATCATGCATAGACTAAGCAGAACTCGGGAGGAACAGACAAGGGAAAATCAAGCAGGCTTTAGACCAGGTAGAGGGTGCATAGATCATATCTTCACTCTTCGACAGATTCTAGAACATAGACACACTTTTCGGCGTCCAACAATTGCCATATTTCTTGACTTGAAGGCGGCCTTCGACTCCGTGGATCGAAAGGTACTATGGCAATGTCTGACTGTGAAGGGAGTGCCAAGAAAGTACATTGCACTAATCAAGGCACTCTATTCAAACTCACGTAGTCGTGTAAGGGCTTATGGGGAATTGTCATCTGAATTGGTAACAACCAGTGGTGTCCGACAGGGATGTCCACTTTCCCCATTTCTGTTTAACTTCATCATAGATATGCTAATGGAAGTATCCTTAACTGAACGTAAGACTTAGGAATCGACTTGTTACCAGGGAATAGTCTTATGGACTTAGAATATGCAGATGACATAGTCCTGTTAGGGGAGGATGCTGACAAAATGCAGAGTCTTCTGAACACCTTGAGCAGCAATCTTCGTATGTTTGGCATGCGATTCGCCCCTGCAAAATGTAAGATGCTGCTACAGGACTGGACTACGTCAACTCCTAACTTAGTGATAGGGAGTGAAGTGATAGAACATGTTGACCACTTCACCTATTTGGGAAGTTGTATTAGCACCAACGGACTGATTGGCGATGAAATCTCAGCACGGATCCGAAAAGCTCGAGCTGCTTTCGCTGACTTACACCATCTCTGGCGTAGGCGTGACATCCGGTTATCAACCAAGGGACGTGTGTACTGCTCATCAGTTCGCTCCGTCCTTCTCTATGGCTCTGAAACATGGCCAATACGCGTTGAAGACATGAAAAGGTTGACTGCTTTCGATCATAGATGTCTGCGATCTCTGTCTCACGTTAGGTGGTTTAATAAGGTAAGTAATGTTGACGTTAGGCGTAGAGTGTTGGGCAAAGAGGGAAAATCAATCGACGAGGCTATAAAGTTACATAGACTAAGATGGCTAGGTCACGTGCTGCGCATGCCTAACCACCGCCTCCCCCGACGGGCATTACTAGCTGATATAGGTGCAGGTTGGAAAAGAGTAAGTGTTGGCCAAACAAAAACATGGCATCAATCCATGAAATCCTTGACAGTTAAACTGAGTCAGGTAGGGAGATGCAGACTCCCGGGTTGGGGCCCTCGGGACTCTAGGAATCAATGGCTGGAGACAATAGGTGACATGGCTCAAAATCGTTGTCAATGGCGCAGATGTATTCAGTCTCTGTAATCTTTCATATTCCTTTCTACCATTACCCATTCTGTTTCACTCTTATACTTGTCAGACTGTATTGATTCTCTTCACTCATCTTCTTGTCTACCTTTGTTTTTATCTATCATTTGTCTGGATTCAACATAGAACTTGGCACCGAAGTGCAGCAGTTTGAGTTGATACGTTCCAAACAGCACACAATGTCCAATAAAATGTTTTTATCCGTGGCATCAAACCAGTCTTCTGTGGCTTACAGCGGGTTTGTCAGGCAGGATCGTCCTGGTCGGAATCCATGTTGTTCCACAGCCAGTAAGTTTTTCCATGTGGGCTGATAGCTGATTCCTTATGAATTTTCCTAAGTGACGGTTTACCACTGATAATGTTAGTCTTACGTTTAATATACGATTAGTTTCTTTGGATAATGTACACAGTCCAGTACTGTCTCTGATACCTTATATGACTTTTATTAATCACACACTTACAAAGGTCTCGAATTTTGCGGTAGTCCATCCGGAACTCCTCTTTCCCTATCATACTAAAACAGTCCCATAAGTTCTTTCTCTTTCTTAATAACCTCCTTACTTCATTGCTAATCCAAGGTGGTTTATGCGATGGTTTCCGAGGCGTAGACCAAGGTACAAAACTTTTTGTGAGCCAATCTAGTGTATTCTCAAGTCTTAAACACACTTCCTTGACATTACAATTTGTTTCAGTTGACCAGTCAGCTAGGGTTGCTGCATTTCAGATTGCAGGTATATTCCCATTCCAAATGTTTGGATGGTGGTACGCGTGTCAATTTTATGTGCTGGCTGCTTTGTTATAGAGTCACTAGCTTAGTATAGAGAAAAGTTCACTGTAGAATAATCACAACCATTTACAGCTTGCAAGGCAATTTCTTACCAACTACATAGGCCTCCAAAGTCTCAGGATGGTCGGGGGTGGGTGCCGTGCGCTGTGGGTTGGCCACTCCTCCGTACACCTCTTGAAATGCTCCCATATGACCGGGCGTCTTACATAGCCTCTCCTGAGGAAGTCCTACTCACTGCCTTCACGTGGCGGAGGTGTTTTTCACCGAAGTGAGAGGGCAAAAGCTGATGCCCGGCGCTCTTCACAGGGTTGACTGTCCATTGGATGGCAGTCTAGGGAGATGGCTAAACCCTGATTCCAAACCTCCAACGACTGGCGTATGAAGCTCACCGGCAGACGTATGGACAAAGGGGTTATTGGATGCCCTGGATGTCTGGCCCCATTCAAAAAGGCGTATGAACCGAACTCTGGTCACCGACTGCCAATGGATAGTGGACTCTCTACTCCACTCCTACTGCCTTTTAGGTCACACTTGGTTGTATAAAGGCTAGAGCTGCACTCTCAAACAAAAGGCCGAGCGATGCTGGGGACATCACTCGTACCTAATTCCCATAAAACTTCATGAACTCCCTACAACATCAACCAAATTCCAGCACTGGTCCAACAACGTCGCCTTCTGTGGTTTGGCCATGTTCTGCGCCGACCAGATGACGATCAAATCAGTTCTAAATCCCTCACCATTTCCATCTTGGCGATGTCGCAAGGGGGGGACAGCTAAAACATGGCTTGGTACAGTCAAGGCTGATATGGAGTGCCTGGGGCTACAAACCGTCTACGGATTCCATCTGTGGGACAAGAATTGGATAACCCTGTCGCAAAACCTTGCATCAGATCGCCGCGCCTGGGCAGCGATGATTTGAGATGTTAATGAAGCCGGCTCATCCTCCCGTAGGAGATAGCCGAAGTAAAGTAAGTATAGTCCGACATCGCCCAGAAGAGCATTTCGGTCTGTATATTCTAAACGACTTGTTTGTTATTAGATTAGGAGTCACAGTTGAATTTCCTCCTAATTACCGAGCAGTTGACTGGGATTCTCACGTTTTTGATAGCTCCACGTATACTTAAGATGGATCTATTCAAAGGGCTGTGAGACAACCTCATAAGTAAATACAACTTCGTTCACTTTGCGTTAATAACTAAGAGAAGTAGCATCCAAATCAGAAACTCGCCTTGTCGACAGGGAACTTCTGAGGAGAAAAAACTTACCAGTAGAAATACACCGTTATATACCCACTTCAAATATTTGGAAATTTTTGGCTGACGCAATTTAAAATCTTCCAGTAAGCTAGTGGTGTAAATGCAGAAAAAACCTACTAAATCAAGTTCCTAATGAAAGGCGTTTCGATCATCAACCTGATCAGTATGGCAAGACAGTGATGAAAAATTATGCGCTAACGCATAGCCAGCAACTCAAATAATGTCTTCATTTTACGCTTAATTGTGTAATGACCATCTATGCTCACCAAAAGTTAATGTAGAATGAATGTTGTGACTAACTCGGTGTGATTATTGTGTTTCATAAACAATTGTTTCCTGTGGTTAACATTTTGACATTAGTGTCTTACTGAAAGTAAGATGAAGGTAAGCTTCATTGTTCTGCGTTGATTGCATATTTTTGCAGATGTTTCAAACCATTTCAAAAAATCTAACAACTGTTAACCATAGAGGGAACAGTCTTAAGTTATCTGACTTCACTTCTGTTAATCTTTCTGACCAGTAAATACAACCACTGAGTAAGTATGGATGCTTATTTTCTTACCGTGACGTTTAAGTTTTTAAATTCTTCAAGTTTTGGATTCTCTGTCAACTTGATATTTTCTATGTATAACAAAACTTTTGTAGGTTCAAATCATCCACACGATTGCAATTCATTGAATGAAAACACCAGCTGTAATTATAAGCAGACTAATTTCTGACTGATCTATCCAAATATAAATAATGTTTATGAATGAGGATATGTTCGATGATGGAGAGTTATCTGTAGAATATTCTTCAGACGACAACTCCGAGCCTAATGTTGATCTGGAAAATCAGTACTACATGGCTAAGTCGCGGAAAGATGACAATCCAAATATGGCACTATCTGAGTTCCAAAAGGTTTTGGATATCGAAGGAACTGGGACCAAAGGTGACTGGGGGTTTAGAGCATTGAAGCAGATGATTAAGATAAACTTCAGACTTGGAAGATTCGATAATATGATGGAAAATTACAAGATTCTTCTTACTTACATAAAATCTGCTGTCACTCGGAATTACTCAGAAAAATCTATTAACTCAATCTTGGATTATGTGTCAACGTCTAAGCAAATGGACTTGTTGCAACGGTTCTACATTACTACTCTAGATGCACTCCGAGAGTCGAAAAATGAAAGGTTATGGTTCAAGACGAACACAAAGCTGGGGAAACTTTATTTGGAACGTGGTGATTATATGCATCTACAAAAGATTGTTAAAGAACTACGTGAATCTTGTCAAACAAATGATGGAGAAGATGACTTAAAGAAAGGGACTCAGCTGTTAGAGATCTATGCTTTGGAAATTCAAATGTATACAGCCCAGAAAAATAACAAGAAGTTAAAAGCCTTGTATGAACAGTCTTTACACATCAAATCGGCCATCCCACACCCTCTTATAATGGGTATTATACGAGAATGTGGTGGAAAGATGCATCTTCGCGAAGGAGAATATGCCAAATCTCATACAGACTTCTTCGAGGCATTTAAAAACTATGACGAGTCTGGATGTCAACGTAGAACACACTGTCTCAAGTACCTAGTTTTAGCCAGTATGTTGATGAAGTCAGGAATTAATCCTTTTGATTCACAGGTTCGTGAATGTTTTTTTTTAATAATTTTTATATCATTCTACTTTCTTCCACTTCATTTTGCACTGTCTTCTCTTCTTTATAAGTGCGTCGTCATAAGCCTATTTATGTATCTTTTACGAGGTTTCTTGGTCGCAACAAGTGTACATCCCGACTTTCCCTACCGTGGTCTGTAGCCGGTGGTAAGTTTACTAATACGGAACCATTCCAAGAAACCAGTTCGTGTGTGACCAGCCTCAAGCAGTTGTACCCTGGGCTCTGCAGTTAAGCAACACTGTCTTTCTGTTTCAGGTACCCGAAGAATCAATCAACTTCCACGGTGTTGGCAGCCAGGAAGTAACAACCGCTCACACACTTCCAAGAGCACGCCAAGCCTCCCCGAGCATCATTCTCCTCTACCCACATCACCTTACTCCCCTGCTGCACTTAGTACTATTCTTCAGGTTAGTGAGTCATCTTCACTTCACTCTGTGACCACAAACAACGATGAGAGACATAGAAATATCCGCGACAGCCTCTTAAAGCCACGTCGCTAACTTCATATAGCAGCATTCAATGTCAGTACCCTCTGCAAAATCGGTCAACAGGCGTCACTAGCAAGAACTCTGGCATCTCGAGCCAAGGATGTATGTTGTGTTTCGGAGACACGCATACGAGACCCGAGTGTGGTCATTCACTTAACCTCACCCGGCCAACAAGGTGAATCAGCGAAATTCACTTTGAGGGTATCAGGAGACTCCTCAGCTATTTCGCAAGGACTTACAGGTGTGGGGATAGCATTGAGTGTTAGGGTAGAAAAATCCCTCCTTGACTGGATCCCAGTACATGTACTAATGCACTTAACCCTAAGTGACTTCAGTGACTCAAGTAGTGACTTGTTACCACTAGGGGTTAATCTCGTTGACCTTAGAATATGCAGATGATATAGTCCTTCTTGGTGAAGACGCTGAAAAAATGCAGACAGGGTCTCCTGAACACCTTGACAGGCAGCAATCTTCTTCAGTGTTTGGCATGCTATTCGCTCCTGCTGTCAAATGTAAGATGATGCTACAGAACTAGACTACATTGACTCCTAGCTTATAAATAGAGAGTGAAGTGGTGGTTACAGTACGTTGACCACTTCACTTATTTGGCAAATTGCATCAGCCAACGCCAATGGGATGATCGCTGACGAAATATCAGCACGCATACAGAGGGCTAGTTTCGCATATGCCAGTTTACGCCATTTCTGGCGTAGACGTGATATCCAGCTATCGGCCAAAGAGCGTGTGTGCTGCTCAATAGTCCACTCCGTCCTCCTCTGTGGCTGTGAGACCTGGCCACTGCAAGTGGAGGATATGAAAAGGGTGGCTATCTTTGATCATACGTGTATGTGTTCCATCTCCCATGTTTGGTGGTATAATAGGGTTAGGAATATTGAGGTTGAGCATAGGTCGAATGCCAGGCAAGGAGGGGAAATCAATAGACGAGGCTGTGAAGTTATATTGATTGAGATGGTTAGGACATGTGTTACGTATGCCTAGCCGTCGCCTCCCTCAACAATGGGCAATGTTAGCTGACATAGGGTCAGGTCGGAAAAACGCCAGTAGTGGTCACACCAGAACACGGCATCAGTCCATGAAATCCACAACAGTTAGTTTGAGCCAGCCAGTCACGTAGGGAGGTGTAGGCTTCCTGGTTGGGGTCCTCGGGACGGTAAACACCAATGGCCGAAGACAATTGGTGATATGGCTCAAAATCGTTCTCGATGAATAGCGCAGATGATGTATTCACTCCTTGTGACTTATAATTTCCAATGAAACTATACTGTTCTTCGATATTACTAGTCCTTTTGTCTCATATCCCTGTCTACCGTCTCTATTTTGCTTTCTTTTCTTGCTTTGTGTGATACATGGAGTGTGGCGACTTAAACTGCCGCACATTGGTGCAAAGTTCTATGTTGAAAACAGACTACTTTCATGATTAAAACCACTTTTGTCGATAATCATTACTTGCTAGCCTCACACAATTTCGTCTTCACATTTCTCTGTTAATTGTGCATTTTACTAGTGCGATAATATTCGCTGTATTCGTCCCTCATTAATCTTTCAATTAAAAGCTCTTGCCAGTCACATATCAAGAAGAAAAAATCTACACAGTAAGTACATATTAGATAATATGAAGGAATGGGGCTTTCGGTCGCTCACACTAGAAGTAAGCAAAAATTAATACATGTAACATGTCAACCCAGATATTTTTTAAAATAAATGGTTATCTCTGTATGTCAGCAGTTTAGCTGAGTGTCAGATGGTTTAAACTTTTTCGTTCGGTCTATGTGACTTGCAGTAGTAGCGAACCACTGGTGAGTTGAGAATAGTATGGATTGCAGGGCGGGTTGGATTAATCGTCGTCAACTACTTCTTTAGTTTTAGATAGCAAGCATGAATTCGCAAAATTTTGGCTACCATGATTAATAACGCAAATTGATAGTTTGTCACGTGACCGTGCCATTATCAAAAGCCGGATCTTCGGCAATAAATTTCTTGACGAAGTGCAATAGTAATTGAGTCGAATACCCCCTTTTCGTAACCAACACTTAATACTTAAACAGTATTTATTTGTATTTTTTGTTTATACACCGTTTATTTATCAGGAAACGAAACCGTACAAAAATGATCCTCAGATCGTGGCTATGACGAGTCTTATAACAGCTTATCAAAATAATGACATTGTGGAATTCGAGTCCATATTGCGACGTGAACGTGATTCAATCATGGAAGACCCTTTCATTCGCGAACACATTGAAGACTTACTTCGTAACATCAGGACTGAAGTTTTGATTCAATTAATTCGTCCATACACCAGAATCAGGATACCTTTTATCTCACAACAATTAAATCTTAGTGACTCTGAAGTAGAAAGCCTTTTAGTTTCATGCATTCTAGACAACATTATACAAGCACGAATCGACCAAGAACACCACATTTTGATGCTCAATACAGAAGCTACTTCAGAAGCTCGCTATCAGGCCCTTGACAAATTGGCTCTGCGGTTACGCCACTTACAAAGCGCTATGTCTAACAGAATGCCGATTTTTAACTGAAAGACAAGCTTCCAAATCACATGAGACACTTGAACCAAATCCCATTTAACTTAACAGTAACCCTACGCTAGTGTAAAGGATATAAACTGAACAAATCCAAAGTGTTGTACATTGTAACTCATCATTTGTACTTTGTTACTCACGAATTTTTTTCATTATCTCATGAATACATACATCTACTACTGAACTTTGAGATAGATTAATTTACTAACACGTTTCGATAATAGCGGTTCAACCTACTATTGGCCATTTAGAGTTTCCTTGACCGAGCTGTAGGTCAAACTTATTATACGAGTGAGAGATGAGATTGTGTACTTCAAGTCTGTCCTAGCCGTTTGGAAGTGGACTTGTCACTGATCCCTAGTTGAACGCCTATACTAATGAGGGGTATTTTCATATTCTTAATAACTGATAGTATGGCGAAAAAACACATGAACCAGTTAACTGGTTCAAATCACCTGACTTGGGAAATTCGATCTCAACATTCAGCTTGTGTTGTAAAAGCAGTGATTTAACCCAAAGTACTATATAATCAAAACCGTAACGGATTCAAAGAGTTGCATAATGATAGACTGTACATACACGAATTGTGTTAGTTCATCCATCAATTGGTAAAAGATACAATGTAGACTGTGTACAAACTAAACACGATGCATATGGTTTGTCAGTAGCAACAAATCCAATTATTGGTTCATTGGTTGGTAGACTAACTACATGTTGTGATGCTACGTGTACAACCTGTTGTTCTTTCGTGGGAGATGAATTAGCCGTAATACGCTTACGGAGTTCCGTATCTTTTGCACTACTTGGTAGAGGTTGACAATATATGTAGATTCTTCTCGTGAAATCTGCAACAGCCACAAATTTTAGTGGAGTTTCGTTAAATAAGACCGGACTAGAAACAAATCGGCTCTCCCTCTTGCTGGCAAGAACATAGCCAAATGCTTGCAAAGTCGAGACATGTTTCCAAACATATTGGTCTATATCTGAGTTTGTCTTCATGGAGGTAAAATGACATTGCGGCAACCAAACGATTCCATCTACATCCTGGCGAATACAGAAAGCGTGAGTTGCGTTCGATTTCGACTCAGCACAACGAATCTTGAATAACCACTGATGGCCGGACAAATGAACCTAGACAAATAATATTGATGGAAGTTTTCGATAATTCTATAAAATTAATGAGGTGATTTTAAGGTAGTTAGGTAGACATAACGAATTGTCTGACTATATGTAAAATAAAGGCTTCCAAGTAACCAGAATCGTTTTACTTTCACATGAGAAATTTCTGAAATTGTGGCAATTGAAAAGTGATATACCTGAGTTGGTTTAATTTGATAATGACAGGCACGACCACTAGTAGCAAGCAGAAAGAACAATACGTATTGCTGGGGGACAATTTTCAGCAAATATTTTCGTTCTTGTAATATAAATTGTAATGTAGTTAAAATATCACATGGCGACTCCATATTGACAAATAACTGCAATTCAGCTGCTCGTAGTGCTTCAAAAATGAGAGCAATCATGAAACCAAATGCGTAGAAATAGGCAATAGTATACCTATCACAAACTGGTTATAATACTAGTCAATCATTTAAATGATGAGCCACACTTATCATGAGAGAAAGTCAATCAGCCTGACTACGGATACGTGAGAGCGAGCTGAATCACCGTCAAATCAGTGAGCCACAGCTTAACTGAAGAAACTCCCAAACCTATCTACAAAGTGAATCGAAAGTCCAAATTGCCTTGTACATACGGAGATAAATAAAAAAAACTTTTGTTTTTGTGTCTAGACGAAAACCCTGAAAGCATAAAATGAATACCTGATGGGTACATCTAAGAGTTTCATGATCAAACCGCTGCAACACTAAATCAGGATCATCTTCACTCATAGGGAAGTCAACTTCTTCCAGCTGTCCAACGTTGAAAGGTGGTTTTAATATAGTGCCTTCGACATCCGATTGATCTTCCACACCTAGAGTTTGCGCATACCTTAATTTTTCATCTTCACGTGAATCAAGCAGTAAGCGAGGCCAGTACTGAGTGGTTTGCTTGTTGATATGCACTTCGATGCTAGAAAAAAAAAAGCATGAGCGCTTTGGGGTACCTATACACAGTTAAAGTTATATATATATATATATATATATATATGAACATACCAATTAGCTTTACGATCGTACGTCCATGAAGATGTAGGACTCACTGGTCCATATAAAGTTTGATCAATTAGTATGATTGGGTCATTATTGACTTTCTCAGATTCGTTGGTAGAAATATAAGAGCACAATTTCACGCTAAGTATTTGGTAATCACGAGCTCTTTCACAAACTGGAGCAATCTGCACCAAAACAATATTTGGGCCGAATGATAACGGTAGTGTCACGTTGTTTAGTGTAATAGCAATGCTAAGTAGATTTAAATCCATATCTTCATCGGTATCAGTTTGTGACCACGTAACAGAAAACCTTGTGTCGTTAACAGAAGCAGAAATCTTTGTTTCCACAGCTTTAGATGCACCACCTGTACAAGGATAAATAAAAATCATCAGAAGTCAACATCAGTGAAAGTAGGTAATAACATACAACAGTGTACCAGGCTGTGTACAAGTTTGGTTGATATTAATACTCTTTAGCTTTCCTCTGTCTAGTCGTTCGAATTTTAAAACCATATAAGTAGGTATCTTATGTGAAATACCGTACCATTATTATTACTGCCAGGTGATGATAGCATCAACAATTTCATCGATTTATTATCCTTTCGAGATCGAAATGGAGACAAGAAATCAGAGACGAGGTTTTCTCTAACATCTAGGGGCCGCCACAGTGCAGGTTAAGAATGTAGGTGACGCACAAAAAGCAGTTGCGAAATAATATGTGGACCACCTCCTTGGTAATTAGAATAATTATGTATTCCAACAGATATCAAAAACCTGAGTTTTCAGATACTAGCTGAGTAAGAAAATTCACGTGGCTTCTAAGTTGTGCTGTGATATATTATTGTTACAGTATTGCAAATTAATCGTATCTAAAAATTCAAAGATTCCTCCACTACATGTTTCTCATCCTTTGATTCCATAAAACTATAACTTTCAAACATTTACAAATTTCGTAAACAATAACCGTTTTGAGAATAATCAGCTCAGAACATCAAGTGTTGTTTTGTATATCACTACGCAAAACTTACATTCGTTGACATCTGCTTTATAACTAAGTGAATTGTGAGAGTCATAAATGGCGTGAAATTTTCTTTCAGAGCATATGTGGAGCGCTGAACAGTCGCCTTCGAATGCAGCATAATCAGGGAAGGAAGAGGCAACAAGTTTCTGATGTCGAACCAAGGACCAAGATTCATAAGATGCTACAAAGGGTTTTTTCAAATAATAATGCAAGTCAACAAATACATAAACGTTTGCATATTAGAAAACTACCCATACCTAGTGTAAGCGAATGGTGCTGACTATTTTAAAACTGACTGTTTAAAGTCAAATGTTAACTTTTTAACTGAAAACATTTATTTCCCGTTACGGTTAATAAAACAAGCAAAAAATGTTAATAAAGCAGGCTTTAATGAATTCGTCAAATTTCGGTGGAACTGTTCATCTGAATACTCTACATACAAGTATATATATATATATATATATATATATATATATATATATATATATATATATATATATATATATATATATATTTACTTGTATGTAGAGTATTCAGATGAACAGTTCCACCGAAATTTGATGAATTCATTAAAGCCTGCTTTATTAACCTTTATTGCTTTATTTTATCTGAAAATTAGCTAGGAAGACAATCCAATCACCAATTCAAAATAATCCCAGCTAAAGGTATTATCATTTGACTTATAGATGGATGTTCAAATGTGTCCCAAAAACACATACTAATCGGGCGTAAGTGATAATATTATTGGTCTCATCACGGTCAAAAAGAAATAACCACATGACGTAATACTTCTGACAGTGTGAATGAATACGATGTGTTGGACACCAGTGTGTACATAACAATCCAAATTAAGGCAAAAAATAAGAGATTTGTAGAATCACATTATCTGATTTTGTTTAAATTATTCACTTACACTTTCTTATAAGCGGACTGATTCTACTGTTATAAAATTAATGTCAATATTGGCATCTAGTTTTTTTTCGAAACTCATTCTGCGCACCGAAAGGGCGTTACATTCATCAATTTGTCTGCGTCTACAAGTGAAGAAATTTCCCAATAAAGAATTTATTTTACTCGGCTAATTGAGTTCCTTCTGTTTATTACAAATGATCGAACTCAGACGCATGACGAATTCGAATCTCCACACACCTAAATGAGTATTTCTGTAGGTCTGCATAATCATATAATTCTTATTTGCTGAATTTTAGTATAAATGCTTGGCCTCTGGCTGACTTGCAACTGTTTTCAGAGCAAGTAAAGTCATCATATGCGATAATGACTTCATCGAAAAGAAAATTTTCTTCGCTGCAACTGTCTTCTTAATAACGCATATGCGATATCTTGGTCTACTGAATTTGTATTCCGAACACACCGAAGCAAAATATGTATGGCATGAAAGGGTTACTTCACTATGTGAACAAAATAAATAGTCTACAAGCCAATTGATGTGACTGAATTTTTACAAAATACTTTTCAGTAAGGAATATTTCCAATTCGTCACTTAAAAAAGTCACCGTCACATTTGCGAGTTTCACATAGTTTAAGAGGTAAAGCAAGTCTACCTAGTGATTAACGATTAAATCTAGCCTTGATCAAGAAAAAGTGATTGTCAGTATACAAACATGATTAAAGGTGATCGTTACTAGTGCAACTGAGCATCGCGCGAAAAGGTGCTGCTTTGTGTCTACGCATTCTGTATGACATGTTCAAAGAGTTACGCTGATGGCCGGGTTGTCTAAGGTAGAAATCTACATTTTATATATTAAATATATCCCACAGAATAGTACACAAATACAGAGAAGCAAGTTAGTCATCTAGACAAAACCCCACAAACCAAGCTTATAAAAAGTACCGCATAGTATGATATTCAAACTATAGACAACAGGCATTTCACATAACCCTTACTTGAAGAGGTATACGAGATCCATTCAAGATACGTAACATAGGCTGAAGTTGAATCAGTAACAATTAAGTCACATTCAGATTTGTCCGAAACACAGGTAAATAAACAATGCAAATATAGCTGAGATTCATTTGAAACAAGTAAACAGTCTAACAACTGACTATGCTTCTTATGTACTGGAGGTTGAATGCTGCCAACAACCTAAAAAGTTGGATTAAAATTTTAAAAAAGAAAGAAGAACCAACTTCTGATACTGAATAGAAACCACGGCAATGTAGCTACGGTAATATCCACCACTGAGCGTACATGAAATCCACCAGTTTGTAAAATGATATTCCTTACGTAAAAATACTGTTCATGTTAGAAATCTTAAGTTAAAATTAAGCAGACGTCGAACAACCATTAGTCATAGACTGAGATAAGTAACTAATTCGTTTTATTAGATAATCGTCAACCGAAAATGCATATTCCGTTCAAAAATACAAAGCTTTTTCTTCATGAATAGGATAATCCGATGATACAAATTTGCGAAATACTGAAATGAGACCTTTTCAAACATCTACTTAAGACGTAGATTTTAGAAACGCAATTTAAGCTTACCAACAGCACTTGAGTGTGAAATCAGTACTCAGAAATACACGATATAGGTACTAACAATTATTACAGTTAGTGATGAAAAGCGACACCTTACGTTTCTCAATCGCATTTCAATTTCCGTTACGGTTAAAAATTTGAACAGCTGTCCTTAAAATAGCTAACTACTACATTATGTCTTTATACATGCCACAAAAAATTCCATTCGTTTTGCGGTGCACCTGTCAATGCTCATATTCTGGTAATTGCGACCGCAAGAATGCCACAAGAAATATTACAGTGCTATCTGGTTGTGTTAAAAACGATTAAAAGATGGTGAAGTCAATCGAGGAGTTGGGTACAGGAAACCACATTATAATGAAAAACGGTTATCATCTTTTATGAATGTTCTATCAATAAATACAAGATTGCGAACTGAGAGGTGCTGTCATATCAAGTTACTGCACCGACCCATGATTCCACTTTAGTTTAGTCTTTGCAGTTAAAACCAGTAGTTGATCGAGAATGGCATTCATAATTCCATGAACATAAACAGCAGGGAGGACAGCAAAAACTAGATATACGCGTTTGAGTAACAGATAATATGAAAGAATAGTAGAAACCAGCTTTTGCGCACACAGTGTACAAGTGTTCTGAATATAAGTACGATTTCGAAAGACTGTTAAAACTCGATCAGACCTTTCATTTATTTACGGAAAAGAAACGAGGCGATTTATACGTAAAAGCTGTCGGTGTCACTGTACTGAAATTCCACAAAGTACAAAATCGATAACACCAGTGAATATATATACGTTAATAGAAAACAAAATAAGCTTTACATTAAGTCCAGTGACGCAACATTTTTGTTTATGGCAATAGTAACAACACTTGAGCCCTAGTTCACTACAGCTGTGATCACTAGGGACAAGTGATTTCACGCTGCAATAAAAATCAAATTAGTATATGCATATTTAAGTCTGTCTGTCTGGATTCAACATAGAACTTGGCACCGAAGTGCAGCAGTTCGAGTTGCCACGTTTAACCAACGACTAACGAATAAAAAAACTCACAGTAAATGAGTCCTCGGAGTACAGCTCGTCAGACTTGAGAAGATATAGGTTTCCCAAGCCATCATACAATGATATGTGAAACGCAGCAGGGAACTGTATGGACGCAGTAGCTAATTTTTCAGTTGACGACAAATCACCGCAGTCTGGGAAGGTAAAAATAACCTTTCCAGAGTCGAAATTTTGTGGGAACTCTGGTAGGCTAACTGATATGACCTACAAACAAAATGAATCAGTCTTTAATAACATACAGATCCATCTGCACCAAAATAGTACACACGCCCAGCATCAAATGGATTATTGTGTAGGCAGTTGATGTTACTATACGCTTTAAGATGCTGTTTGGAAACTTCTTCAACAGGTCTGTGTCTAACTTTACGACCAACATTTGCCTCATACACGGGGATCTTCAGCAAACTAAGTTTGTAGGACTCGAAATTAGGATCTAAAAGTGAGCGATCGGGCCTCAAAGTAACATTCATGGCTTGGAATTTCATAAACAATTCTGCAATTTATTTGTTTTCAACAAGTCAAGAATTCCCCTCTGACCATAGGCAGCTAAAACAGAAGCAATAACATAAGGACATTTCGGTAAATAAATAAAAAAGAAACTTCTAATGACAACCAGACTCGCTAATACATACTTGAAATTTGCGTTGTCAGACTGATTGAAGACAGAACTCGAACGTATCAAAATGTGTATTCGGCATAGATCAAGATTAAGAAGAACAGATTATTAATGTCAAGTCTTAGCATCTATTGTCTCTCCAACGTCAGAAAACCAATCACACAGTTTATTCCTCCTCCAGGCCGCAGGCTCAGCCAACACCAAGTTATGTTCCTTAAGCAGCCCGAACCTCATACTGACAAGTATTGATGGGTCCCATAGGTTAGGGAATTTGTTGTAAAAGACTGAACGATGTTTTGATTGCATTTAATGGTCACAGGCTAAAGGCTGTACAATAAGTACCTATTTCCGGAACACACTTACAATAAGGAAAAGAATCCGATCCAGGTGGACAAAAAAGTCACAGTCACCAAAGGAGTAAACTGACTCAGATACTTTACTTAACTGACTGAGGATACTTTACTAATGACATCTGATGAGTGCGCGGGAGATTATAAACTTACCCCGTGATCGCGCAACTCTCAAACAAGGAATATAATCTGTCTTATCAGAAGTTAAAAGAGGCGTTTGAAACTCGACTAAAAGATTCATTTTATGACCGAATAAACGCAGGAGAAGAGAGACATCTATTGATGGATGGGAGGCATGATAACCAAAGCACTTCAGTGCAGCACCATTCCATATTTCTACTGGCGGTAAACTCAGTACATATCCCAAACAGTTAAAGAGAAGGAAAATATCCCCCCCAAAAGGACAATACATGCCTTTCAGTGTCTTGTTAGTTTGCTCCAATAGGTCATTATTTAAATACGATTAAATTACAAGTTTTCCGAATGCTAAATGCATTGTAAACGTTGGCTCTTTGTCTTCAAAGCAGTGATTATGTATCCGCAAGTCAAGAGACGGAGTTATCGTTAAACGCACTGGCAACTGTAACTGCTGCTGTAGACGGTATTACTTCACGCAGTTCAGTAAACAAACTAAACATCACTAGAATGAGTCAGTTACCTTGTTTCAGAGTTGTAATTATAAAGGAATACATCATATTACACATACATTTACGTATACCCACTCATCATCTTATCACATCTGTCGACATGGATACTAGGAGCACCGAAAGTAAGCAATAGTAGACAACTTCTCCCAAGTCGTTACACAGGAGTCGTCACTCCCCATAAGTTCAGCTCTGACTGCATCAGAGATAGGAGAGATTCCGTTAACGTAGAACAAGGCATAGTGCTCAACTACCTAATGAAACCAGATCCATGGAAATCAATGGGTCCTGGTAATCTTCATCTAAGGCTACTCAAGGAGCTATCAGCTCACACAGCCGGCCCATTGACCACGATTTTTAAGCTATCTCTCTTAAGTGGAGTGATTGGGAAAACACCATAGTAACCCTCATCCACAAAGAAGTACCAAGACAAAGCCCTTCAACCTAGAGGCCCATTAGTCTCACCAACACTTCAATCAGGACACTGGAAAGAATCATCGAGAAAAGTATCATGGCATATCTAGAAAACGACAATCCGTTATCCATAGTACAAAATAGCTTCCGAGGTAACTTCTCATACCTATCAAAGAGAAAGCCAGGTCAAATCAAGGGACAACAGAAGACCCACTGACGTCGTCTTCACAGACTTCAGCAAAGCTTTCGATAAAATTCCTTACAAAAGACTACTCATGTAGTTGGTAAGTCGTGGTGTCAAAGGCAGCTTACTAAACTTGATTAGGGAATTCCTAATAGATAGGAGGCAGAGGGTTATGATCAACTCGAAAATCTCCGGGACAGCAGTGCATCACGGAGTGCCACAATGCACGGTAGTCGGACATCTATTTATTTCGTATGTCAATGAGTCATTTCTCCTAACTGATTCTTTCATGGTCCTTATGCAGATGACAAACTGGGGAGAGTTGACGGGCGACAGTAATACGCTCACGTTGCAAGAGGACCTCAACAAATTGTCAGTGGTCCGGAGAATGGATGCTCTCAACCAATGTAGCGAAACCATGCGTACCGGACACGCAAGCATCAGCTCCTACGAACTAGAGGGAATACCACTCCCATCAATTCACTCATTTGGATTTAGGTGTCATACTAAGTCACGAATTAAAAACTACAGCACTGTCGCGCGGTGGCTGCACGTAGTTTTAAATCTCAATGGGCGATTTGCAGAGCTGCAGAGTGCGTCGGTGGCACAGTCGTTAGGACTCTCGCCGATCATGCACATGGTCCGGGGTTCGAGCCCACGCCGACGCACACCTGATATCTATGGTCGGCCTGCGAATTTTGGGCTACCGACATCCACGCTGAAAATTCCACACTTTTACCAAAAATACGGTGTGGAGTCAAGCTGTAACCAAAAATAAAAATTTTACTAGAATCACCAGAGATATGTCCACTGCTTATATACATCTTTAGTGAGACTGGAAAACCATCCAGGCAGTCATTCTTCAACTTAAAGGGGACTCATATTCTAGAAAGCATCCAAAGGAAGGTAACACATATAATACTCGGCGAGACTAATTTATCATTCGAGGAAAGAGTGAACAGTTTAAACCTCTTCTCCCTATCATATCGTAAGCAGAGAGATTTAATTACAATGTTTAAAAATTTTAAATAATGACTACGGACCTGACCTATTCTCTCTTTTCCTTCCCACTAGATTGGAACACCTTAGGGGACATAGCAGGAGAGTTCAGAAGCCAAGAAGAAATCACACTCTTGGAACCGAGAAGAAGTGGTGTCTGCAACCTCAATTGATTCATTCAAGAAAGGTTTGGAAAAGCGCAGAAATTTACTAGAAAACAATTAACATAGGCTCCAAGCCTTTTATACTAAACTAATAAATCTGAAATCTGTATAATCTGTCAGTCACAACAGACCCATGTTCGGTGACTCTATAGCAGCTCTAACCGAAGCTACCTGGCGATAGGACAAATGACCTTGACAATGACAACTTTGGCCGATCAGAAGCCTCTATAAAAACGGCGCATGATTTTAATAAATCGTTACTATAAAAAGTAATGCAATGTTAAAAATAGTTACAAAGGATAACGTTCTCGTATATGTTCCAGAAAACCTCCCAACTTCTCATTGGAATCTTGATACGTATGTTAAATGTGCTGTCGTGGTGGGCTCGTGAATACCCATTCACTTTCGGGACTTAGTTTATTTACTTTCGCAGACGTTTATAAATACTTTGCTAACTTTAATAACCAAAATTTGTTGCTTTGACTGCTGTAGTTCACCTAAACACAGCAAAAGAAAGGAAGTCAGTTTATTTTGGAGGAAATTCACGATTTGTCTTGAGCCAGTGACGCTTTTGAGACTTGTAAATGTATTTTACCAGATGAAGTGAAGACGGAGCGCAAATAAAGCAAAGGAACTCAAGAAAATCAGTGGAGTAGAGAGATGCGAGACAGAACAACTACATATATATGTGTGGAGTCCTCAAAAATAAACTTATCCAATTTTTACTACTATGTAAGAAATATTCGCACAATGTACGAAACTGAAAAGGCTGCCCAGATAGCCGCTGATATGAGAAGGTACAGAATAGAAGTGTTGGAAATCTGCGAAAGCAGATGCAACGGAACTGGAAGGTGCCAACTACCTACTGGAGAGACAGTAATCTATTCCGGCCACCTAGAGGACAACCATGAGCACACCGAGGGAGTGGCCATCATGATGTCACCAACAGCAACCAAAGCTCTCATGCAGTGGGAACCAATCTCCTCCAGGATAATGACAGCCAGGTTCAACTCAAAAGGAAGGAAAGTTACAGTCATTCAATGCTATGCGCCTACAAACGTCTCAGAACAAGAGAAGAAGGAGGCGTTCTACAGACAACTACAAGCAATAATGGACAACGTCCCAAATGGCGATATCAAAATCCTGATGGGCGACATGAATGCGAAGCTGGGACGAGACAACACAGGAAGAGAACTCACCATGGGTCGTGAGGCCCTCGGTAAAATGAACGACAATGGTGAACTCTTCTCAGACTTCTGCGCCTTCAATGATTTGGTGATTGGAGGTAGTGTGTTCAAACACAAGGATATACACAAGACGACATGGATTTCACCAGATGGAAACACCAAGAATCAAATAGACTTCATCTCAATTTCAAGAAAGTGGAGACGGAGCCTACTGGACACAAGGTCGAGGAGAGGAGCAGATGTGGGTTCAGACCACTATCTAGTAGAAGGGACTTTCAAGGTGAAACTAAAAGCCTCGAGGATAGCTTGGGATAGGCCACAATGCAAGTTCAACACTCAGAAACTGAAGGACACAACCACAAAAGACACTTCACTGCAACTGTCAGAGCAAAGCAGGAAACACTACGCGACATCACTGAAGAATCATGCGTGGAAGAACATTGGAAGTCTCTGAAGGCGATTCTCAACGAAACGTGTTCAACGGTTCTAGGAAGAAAGAAGAGACAAGACAAGGAATGGCTCTCAACGGACACTTGGAAATTAATAGAAGAGAGGAGAATGGTGAAAGAGAAAATGATTCAATGCAAGGACGGACAGGAGAAGGAGACGCTGAGCTCAACTTACACAGCACTGGACAAAGAAGTGAAGAAGAGTGCTAGGAAGGACAAAAGACGATTCTACGACAATCTGGCCACTGAAGCTGAGAAGGCAGCAGGCAAAAGGGACCTGAGGACACTATATCAGATAACCAAATCTCTATCCGGGAAGAGACCAACACAAGCGAAACCTATAAAAGACAGCCAAGGGAAGCCCATTACCAAGGAAGAAAAACAGATTAAACAATGGGCGGATCACTTCAAAGGACTCTTGAACCGACCATCACCTGCAACCCGTCCAGAAATACCAACAACAGTGCGCACACAACTG